TTGATTGTTGTTGTATGATGCAATTGTTTACTAGCTTTGTTTCTTTTTGTTACGTGGTTTTTTTCCTGTTTCTTTTGTTTACTTTTTATTACGTGTTGTGATTCTTGTGTTACCAAAACAGATCTACAATTCAGGGTCAAGGCCAATTCTCCAAAAATCTGTAAAGTGCAAAAAAATATTGACGATTTTTCATGACTTCTTCTATTTCTTTGCTGTTTCTGCTTTTCTTACTCAAGTCTCTTAAAAGACTGAGTATTTCTTGTTGTCCTTTTCCTCTTTCCTTAGAGCTTCGAGTTTGGTTTTCTAGTTACTTTTGTATGTTTTTTGCAGTTTTTGTTGATTTTGTTTTTTCGAATTTTTGTATTTTGATGATTAGCAGAAAAAGTGTAAATATATAAGCAGCAGGAAGCGTAAACAGACCAGGTGTGTAAAAATTTTCACTCTGTAGAATTCCTTTGGCAGGCTCATTAGGCTCACTATCATATATAAAAAATGCTATATTTTTGCTATCCTACTTGGCTTTAGAACCAGATTAGAAGGTCTATATGATGGTATAAATTTTTATATACCAAGAATACACTCTAATGTCTTCTACCTATTAAGTTTACTAATTTGTTTTCTTGTCTACCTAAACCCTTGTTAACTTTAAGTTCGCTAATTTGTTTTCTTATCTATTTAAAGCTTTGTTAACCTTAAGTTCACTAATTTGTTTTCTTACTTACCCAAAGCCTTGTTATCCTTAAATTGTTATAGATAGACTAGGTGTGTGAAAACATTTTTGCATATAATATAATCAAATTGCCTCCTAATAGCATACCATATAGATAGCTGAAGAAGAGGCAGGAACATAAGCCCTTAGGGTGATGCGAATACCCTTGTCAAAAAAAATAACAGAAATATAAACATAGTTCTTTAGGGCGAAGCGAATATAGATGTTATATTTTTTTGACCTATATTGCTATTCTATTTTAGTATGCTATTAGGAGGCAAATAGATTTACCTTTGGGTAAATTTTTTGTTATCCTATTTTACATTTTTTCTTTTTTCTAAAATATGTTCACCTATTTGAGTGGCTTTGAGCAAAGGAATTACGAGAAGGTGCGGGTGTAAAAAAAAATACACTTGCAAAGCACCTTTTGGTAGGCCATTGGGATCATCTTGGCAAACCATTAGGAATCACCTTTTGGCAGGCCATTGGGGATCACCTTTTGGTGAGCTATTGGAGACCATCATTTTTCTAAAATGTGTTCACCTACCTGAATGGCTTTGAGTGGTTTATCATAAAAAGGTGCAGTAGATTATTGCAAGAAGAGAGATGCTCTATTCTGAAGTCTATTAATGTATTGGGTTACATAGTAACCACTAGTATGATCTCTACAAAGACCAGGTTCAGTGCTAGTTGACTTACTGCAAACCTTACAAAGAATGCGAGGTTTAGCTTTCCAATGTTCAAAGCAACCTTCCGGTATTTTTTCTCACACGCTCGAAAAAAGAAATATAGTAATTAATTTAGGGTTTAGCTGGTTGCTATACAAGATTAAGCAAAGACAGATACAATTATTTACTCAAAAGCTAAGATAATTAATTATTTTTATTTGAACAAAATATTTTGTACTATTAATACAAACAACTGAATTGCTTCGCTTATTATCAAAAATAGTACTTCAATGCCCCCGATGTGGAAAGAATGATTTTAAAAAGACTCGTGATTTAACAAATCATCTTAATTGAAAGTTTAAGTGTAAACAAACCCAAATACCTGACCCAGTTCAGCTATCTAGTCCTAATGTATCCAAATCTCAATCATCAGTACCTAGCCTCCTATCTATAGAGGATTTGGCCAACTGGTTAGTGAATTCTGAGATAAAAAACAACCCAAGTATTATTAGTAAAAAGGTTCCAAAGACAGATGTAGTATAGTTTGATTTAATGGAAAAGTCTTCTAGCAGATCGCAAAAGAAACCCCAAGTTTTTCAACTAGAAGAAGATTCAAAGGATCTAGATAAAAAAGTGCCTTGGCTGGTTTCATTTTCAAATAATGAAGAGCACCAAAAAGTATGGCAAAAAGGAATTCAGACAGCAAAAGATTTATTTAAAGTAGATGGTGCCGAATATACATTTTTAATCTGGTTTGCAACAATTGAGGAAGATAAAATATATGAAGCCGAAATGACCGAAGAATGTGCCAAGAAAATTTTAAATACAATAGATAATGATAAGTTTCTTATAAGGATAAAGTTTATTCGACCAGATTATGATAATTTCAAAATTGTTGACAAAT